AATGATTTCGTTAAAACAGTGTAATTCGTTCTGAACCCCCTAAATATAATAACGGGTAACTATAATGAGGAAAACACGGATGAGTACCCGCTCACGCAGCCGGCTGAAAGGTGCGATAGGATATGTTTACTAGGCACTTCTAATTTTAACATATATTTTACGATATATTAAAGAATGATGCAAAAACCCTAAAAAGTGCCCTAACCCTAACCCTAACCCTAACCCAGTGGTGGGTAAAAACTTTACAAAGCGAGGGCCGCATCAGTGGGCCATGAAAAGTCAAAGGGCCGCACCTTTTAAAATCGGGCGGTGCGCTCTAAAACAATACGTGCGTTTCGCTTCAAGGGCGCCATCTCTGGACCATAATTAGCTGAAATGGCGTTTCAGAGCGAACCAGAGACAATAGAACACTAATCTGTATGACACTGAAAAAGTCAGCCTCGGTTCAAGCACAAACATGTTGACTCATAAAAATTTATTGATTTAAAAAAATAAAAATTATTTTTCCATTTTTATTTTTTAATATGCTGCAGGCTTCCGCGGGCCGCACGCGAAATTTTTTTTCCCACTTGAGTTCCGGACCACAGCCAATCAGTGCACTCCATTCACTCGACTTCCTCGAAGCAACAATGTAAAATGAATACCCCTTATACCTAACCCTAACCCTAACCCTAAACTTTCATAAAAATTTATTGATTTAAAAACATTGAAGCAACAATGTAAAATGAATACCCCTTATACCTAATCCTAACCCTAAACCTACCCTAACTATAATCCAACCATATATATACGAACCATATATTACAAAACACTATCTATGGTGGGTCCGGAACTCAAGTGGGAAAAAACATTTCGCAGGCCGCACAGAACCCGGTAGAGGGCCGCATGCGGCCTGCGGGCCGCAGTTTGCCCACCCCTGCCCTAACCCTAACCCTAACCCTAACCCTATCCCTGCCCCTAATTAAATTTAAAATATATGTTAAAATTAGAAGTGCCTAGTAAACATATCCTATCGCACCTTTCAGCCGGCTGCCCCGCTCACATATATCGATATCTATATAATCTCTATTCTCTATACATGTATTTCCTCTCCACCCTGCCGATAAAACGTCTATATTAGAGTAAAGTTTTACAAAACATGTTGGAATGCAGCATAACCTATTTATTTCGAACGCCATTGCTACAAAGCGGGTATAGCGCCATCTACCGTCAAAAATTGTGATTCATTTTAGTTTATAAATTGTTATTGCGATATACAGATGGCAACCGTGTGCTACCGCCTAGAAAAACTCATACGAAGTAAACACTTCCATGCAACCAATTAACCTTTGACAATAGTTGTGTTATAACTTATAGGCAGGGAAACACCATTGTCACGTTGTACATAGCAGCTACGTGGAATAAGCGTATTCTCTAAATCTTACACGTTACACATCGGGAGCTTCGCTTTTAGGCAGTGCCTGAATCTGAATATTATAAAAACGTTAAATGGCGATCATTTAGGTGTAACGCCATCACTCGCCCTCATCTCAGACTTTCACATCTCAAACATTTATTTTTACATAAAAAAATACGCATATAATTATCAAAAGTATATAATGGGAGTTCTCCCATATATACACTTCGTTTCTCGAATGTACGTCGATGGTTGCTCAATTAAAACTGACTTCTTCTCACTCACTCATTTGTGTCATTTTTTGTGGTGAGCTACAGTGACATTGACACTTTCATTAAGAAAGAGAGAGAGACCGAGAAAGAAACACAGAAAGAGATGGTGGGAAGCGAGGGGAAGAACGGAGAGGGAATAGGACCTACACACGCAGGTGCAAATTTACACAAAAACATATTTATTTATCACCGTCATCAACACGGAATCAGTAGGGTTTCGTACGCAGCACTAGAAGGAAGGGGCAGCTCTGTACGACGCATGTTGTGTCCAAGCAAAAACTCGCACACACTCGAGCAGACGTTATTCCATGCTCTTCAGACGCTAATGTAGCTGTGATCTTATGATGCCATCGTGGAAGAATACATATATTTATTTATTTGATAAAAAAAGAACTACTTTGATTATACTGCATGTATAACTCTTCTTGCTGTTTGTTTAAAACTGCATTTTAAGGTAAAAATCTTAATGATTTCGTTAAAACAGTGTAATTCGTTCTGAACCCCCTAAATATAATAACGGGTAACTATAATGAGGAAAACACGGATGAGTACCCGCTCACACATATCGATATCTATATAATCTCTATTCTCTATACATGTATTTATATAATTCTCTATATAACCGTGTTAGTATTTAGAAATCAGTGGCGTTTTCTAATACTAGATGGCGCTACCGTGTATAAACAAGTTGCTGTATAATACATATATATATGGGCATGGCGGCGCTTCTCAATCAATGTTACCTCAGCGTGTAATGCGGAGGCAGTCAGTCCGTCATGGCATCGCGGTTGAATACGGTAGAAAGTATATCGTGTCGGTCACACAGTACACAAAACATGCCGTCTGATCCCGGAATCGCAGAGGAGTCAAGTGAAAGTGAAGCAGAGGTGGAAGAAGCAAGATCATATCATAGGAAGATCTCAACTTCGAAGCAGATACAGGTTTCGGTAAGTGTAAAATATACTAAGGAGTTCAAGTGATAGATAAATGTACACGTTGCTACGTACGCTAATAGTAGTAATGATAGTAATGTGCGAAGTAACAGTGTCGTTCTTTCTCGCGATCTCTACCGTAATATGACATTTGCCAACAGGGAATATGTGTCAGATTGTCTGATAAACTTGGCGAGATTTATCGCCGGTTCAATTCAACATTGGAACCACAGGCACTTGGAACGTCTCAATTAAAAAAAAAAGGTAAATAAACACGAAATGTATTTACTACCAAAGTCTTAATGCTTCTCTAACCTTATCTTATCAACTAACATCATCCTATCCAATCACAGTACTGGACATCATCTCTATCCTTGAACCCCGCACGCCCGCCCTGTGCACAAACAACATGAATAAAAGATCATTATTCATGTTGTTATGAATTCATGTTGTTTGTGCACAGGGCGGGCGTTCCGTACATGTACTTGTGTGTTGCAGATGAGCATTTGACCGCCATTTACGGGTAATTATCGGCAATAATAGGCGAAATAGAGTAGAGAAACGTTGAGACTTTGGTAGTAAATACATTTCGTGTTTACATTTTTTTTTTTATTGAGACGTGCCAAGTGCTTGTGATTGGAAGCGCTGATGGGTTTAGGAATAGGATAGGCCTAGGGTAAGTGAGTGGTTGCCGTATAATCGGCAATACCCAGCAGAATCAGTAGCAGCCTCACGTTACTTTTTCGCTTCACACTACCTGGCGTGAAATCGTGAAACAGTCGCAGAGCCTGGTGGGGCTAAATCAGTAGCTTTCATACTATAGTACAGTCTATAGATCTCGTTGGAACGACCACAGGAATACTGCGGCAGCGACTAGAGCTAGTACCGTACAGCAGTCGTGCAACACAAACGGCAGCATTGTATACGTAGGAGTTGGGCAATAAGTGTTACCGGTTTATACGGTAGCCGGATTTTAGTGTTAGACTATTGTTGGCTCAGGTAAGGGTTTGGGATAGTGTGACAAGGATAATTGTTTCTGTATAGGGGTACCAGACCATATAGGATTGATCCTGGTAAGGTTTCCATTTTTTTTTTTTGATTTGATAAATTAGAAAGACAATGATTCAATACATATTCTCTAAGCAAGAATTCATTGTTGAGACTTCCCACTCTCTCTGTCAATACATGTAACATGTACTTGTAAACTTATGTTTGTAGCGATAAAGGTTTTGTAAGTGTAACCGACTATAGTTTTTACTAATTTTTAACTACTCCCATGCAGTGTAGCTTGCAGTAATTAAAGATGCATTCCTACTTACTTATGCAACTATATATAGTAATTCAATTACGAGCAAATGTTATACACCCAAAAAGAAAAGTATAAACTGAAAGTCAGTACGATATACACTCCTAAAATTGAAAGGAAATTCGTTTCAAAATCACTTTTTTCTTATTGTGTCTGGTAATGCCAGTAATATAAGCTCATTGAATTCACATGAGCGGCATCTGTGGCGTCTCTGGTAAAACTGAGGACCGAGAAAAATCAAAATGCTCTTGTCCATCTAGTTATTTTTTAAGGAAAAAAACATGGAATAAATGTAATCCCAAAGATTTTTGTGTCTTGTGTACATGTATAGGCAAGCATGTACATGTAACATGAGGGTATATGTATTTGACCATGGCGTTGACAGCAAGTGCAGCGGTTGCGCACCTTGATTGACGGCATCCTTCTGACCGATATTTGACCAAATATCCATGGCAATAGACTGCCGTTGTTGCCCTACCTGTGGTGTATGAGTTCATGTTTGTCCCACAAGAAATGTTACTAAGAAAGGTTGCCTTGATAATACCAGTATATTGTCTAACTCCTGACGTAGTGTAGTAAGTGTACAAACGTGACAGCTATCCACTCGGACAGGGTCTCTATAAGGTACATGTGATATCCGAAGACATGTGCTACGCAGGACGGCTTGCAAATCTTTTGAAAATCTCAAACGACCCTGAAAATCTTCTGTCAATTGCTCTTCGGCATTTATACAATGTCGGGATCTGTCTAGTCCTGAGGTAACACTTTTGGGCATACTGAACTACCGTGTTATTACTTAGTGTGTAGATATTTAAATGCAAGTAAATTTGCTAGAGATTTAATTTAGTTATTTTAATTTGTAAAAAAACAATAGTTCGAATATATATAGTTACCGAAGTAAAAGTGGTTTTTAACCGATAAAAAGTAGTAACGTTCTGAAAAAGGGTTAAGTACAGATAAGTTGTAACATTTCGTAGGATTTTTAACAGATATGTATAGATGAATAGAGAGGTCGAACCACAGCCTTGCCGCAGTGCCTATTGTGGTTCAAACGCACGGTCCGGAATGTTGTTAGAGTGCTGAGTCTAAAATATGCATGTCATGCATCTCTCCCGACAACAATTCGTTCATCTTGTAGCTTCTAGGTTTATTGGCAAGGGCTTTTAGGCTATATAACGTCTCGGGTTATGACTGCAAACAAATTGGAATGGCCCCCCATCGTGGTGGCAGATAAAAAGTACGTTACTTCTATAGCAGATGTGCGACTAGTCTACAATGATATAAGCACTGATTAATGCCGTATCATCACATCTGACAGCACAGCTTACATACAAGCTGTTAGTCTTCCTCTTCCGTCATTTCCCTTCCAAGTGAACCACTAAGCGTCAAATAAAGCACAAAACTTCGTGCTCTTTTCCTTTAAAACGCATCCCGTATACGCCATATAAAACATGGCAAATGCGATTTTACCAAAGGCGTGATTCACCGTCGCTTAGATGGGTTTAGCCTTACATTGCCATCCGCCTAACAGATACTGGCGATATTTGAAATGTGTGCGAGAACGGATTTTGAACAAAAGAAAGATTTACGCGTTTTATTTGATCGCGTTAGTACGTGGCCCTAACTACACCGATATGGCAAGCAAAGTATAATTTGGTTAGTTAAAGTGGCAATACATCTACCTTAACGGATGCAGTTTACACTAATCAAAATTTGCAAATACTTTTTGTCTGTTTCGTGTAAAATATACTCACTAAAACTATTTTAACTGTGCATGTTGAAATTTTAACGTTATAGTCACCGTTTAACCATGCAACGAATATATCTAGATATTGCAACATGCACGGAAACCATGTTTACAAATGTTACCTCTGGGAAAAATAAATGTTGGCATGGGTTTTATAACATTTTTGGAAACTTTCTTTTAGTAGTGAGCGTTGTTAAATAGCTTTTATATAAGTTAAATTATATATTTAGCTTATAAATTTATATATATATGCTTAGTTAACATTAGCTTTTAATCAGCTTGGTTAATATTAACAGTACTCATATATTTTATGGAAAAATCTCTGAACAAAATTTATTATGTATTGTAATACAGTTTATGAATCTTTGCTAGATCAATATCTAAAAGTGATTATAGAATTTTGTAAAACCTGGGCATACAATACGAAGAGTGTTACGTTTAACATTGTATATATTGAAGGCAAGTGCAACGTTTGCAGACATTCAGTGTTCCATTTCATATGCACACGGTTTAGTATGTATTACTATACGCGTGGACTTGCTTGTGGCAAGATGATTTTTGCGAACACAAAGTTGTTTGCTTTTTCGGTCGTGTGAATTCAGTATGACATAAATTGCAGGAAATTGATTATTTTTCTACAGCGAATGGAAACACGCGCTCAGGGCAATCCTACATAAATGCTGTTGCTGAAAAAGCAATTTTTAAAGTAATTCTCACGAATTAATACGAGGTGAATCTGATAAAATAGATATATTGAAGTGGTTTGTAAATTTATTCCGAAATGGTTTTTATTTGTCATAAGCTTTCAAGCTATCAAATTCGAGTTACGTATCCGTGTACCAGCATCATGTAAATATTATTTTAATGGCTGTATAATATTATGAGATAATAATGTTATATATGGCTACTGTATATATAGCGTTACGATTTTTTCCCATATAATTGTACCGTAATGTTAAATTTTTATGTCATCCTATCTTTCAACTCATCACCTAAAACGGCTAGTTTTGAAATGGTCTGCCTCGCAAGGATAAGCAATCAAAATGAGGCTGTCAGAGTAACCCAATGTGCCGAAGTTGGCTCAAGCGAAGTGGTTAATGTGAGTGAGTGTACGAGTAATGTTGTTAATTATGCAGCTCAGCTGCTGAGATGTGTGAGATGTGAGGTGTGTGAGATGTGAAACAGGTATGTTTTCTGGTGGGTGCAAAATGTTCCATAGCAGGTGTCAGATACGGCGCAGCCACACGCACGCACGCACGCACGCACGCACACACGCACTCGCGTTTGCTATATTACAACGACAGCACATGTATGTTCAATCGTTGGATTTTTTTTATCCATTATACGGGTGGAGTCTGAAAGACAAGTAGGTGGGCGCGGCAGTTTGTTATGTTAAAAGGATATAGCGCTCGCTTACTAGGTTTTAATTTATTTCGGCATGCAGTTAAATGAGTATTGATTTATGCTGCATACGATTTTTGTTGTTCAGTATTAATTGAAATAAGTTAAATTAATTCATAAATTCTATCTATTAATTTAATTACTTATAGCAGAATTAAATGAACAGTCCATTAATTCTTTGTAAAAATACGAGTGTATGTATACGTTTATATACTTGCTTAAAAGGTATAGCATGTAGTTTCAAGCAGCTTCTTGAACTTTGGTCCATTTTTACATTTATTCCAACGTTGAGTAAAGGTAGTAAAGAAGTTTTGATATTGCACCGTGTTTGATATAAAAATTCTAAAATTAGCAGGATTTCAGTGTCTTTACTTATTGCAAAGCTTATATGGTAATAAATATCAGAAATGCGTTTAATTACTCCTGCTGTTATCATAATTTGAGCGAGGAATGCATATATAATCATGCAAAATAATTTTTACTTGAAAACACTTGCTGCTAGCTTTTCATATATTCTTAAATAAATAATTAATAAGGTAAGCATCCGTACAGTGAGATTTC